CATCAGCTTAGCTGTACCCTTAGCCATTGTTCACTTGCATTCACCTGTCAGGAAGGGTGATTCAGCGCTACTGTGTTCTTTCCTAGAAATCAGGAACTTTTATTGTTCAAGCTGTTATTGTAGAACCCCTCTTCAGGTCTTGACTCTTTCAGGAGCGGCTGATAGAAGGGGCCTGTGATGGACTTTTTAGCTGCCTAACCTAAATACTAGCTCACTTTGGCCTGTGTCATTCTGGTATCTACAGAGGCCAGGCCCAAGGGCGTTCACTTGAGGAAAGTACTCCCACTACCTCTCTTTGCACAACCAACTTTGGCCAACCCAGTCTGCTTAGACCATCAGCATTTACGGTCCTGGCACCCCTTGCAAATTGAGAACATGATCAGGCCAGAAAGATGGTTAATAAAACCAACTGGATTTGTTTATGAGTTTCTTCTCATACAAGCCAAATACAAGATGTGAGAAAAAAATGAAGTATCCTCGTGCTGTCGTTACTGGCAGTGGTGGCAACATTCCTGAGAGGTTAATTGTGTGCCAGCCATTTTTCTGAGTAGCAGAGTGGTTCAGAACAGAGCAGGACTCTCTATAACGTGCTAAATTCAGGTCCTGGCGGGGCCACTGACATGCATGTGCAGGGATGGTTAGTGAACTGACGGAGACAAGCACATTCTCTCCCTTGCTGAACTCTGCACAGCCAAGGGCCAGCAGTGACGGTGCCGTTAGCAGTGGTGGGCACAACTAACTGCCTTCAGACTCTGAAGTAGGAGGATACAGCTTCACATTCACTGTGGGTCACCATGGCAAAACACCTTTGTCTATTTCCCTGTCTGACAGTGAGATGCTAGATCCCTGGCATGTTACTATTGCTGTATGTGAAGGAGAAAAGAAATGAGATGTAGGAGAAGAAAAAGCGAAGAAACCGCCTTGGCCCCAGTCATGGAGGCCTCATCAGCCTCTTTCCCCCTTCTCGAAAATTGAAAGTTTGCATTTCTTCTTGGGTTCCTGTGAGACATAATTTCTAAGGATGATGGCCAGATGTTTTGAAAACACGTTCGTTAAGCTCAAAGAATGCATGTTCATCATGACATCTAGTACTGCTGGCTGTAAGGGCTTTTGCCCCAGATGGATCTGAACCTGTCTTAGCTCTGTTCTCTCTGACAAGAACTAGGGCCTGTTGAAGGACAGCGAGCATTTTCGAGCGTATCAAGCATGCATGGAAGCCGTTACTGGAACTCCAAGTTGAGGACCAGACTGACTCTGTCAATCTTTCCTGGCTGGGACTTGCAAACTCTTGGTTGTGTTTACTCAGAATGTTAATAATTTCGGAAATTATTAAAAGGGAACCAAAAGACTTTCTTTTTAAGAGGCTATTGAGATCACAAATCATTCCACAAATATAATAAGCTATGTAAGCCGAGCGAGTCCAATACTCGACACCAGCCGTGAGCCAGCTGGAAGTATGGCCATTTTCATATGACATTTCATGTGTGGAACTCAGGAGGCATGAGAAAAACCCTTTGAAAATGAGGCCTTAAAATTTTAATAATTGTGTTGGGTAAAATGTTTTTGCAAAAAAAAAACCCAAAAAGCAAAAACCTTCCTTTTTTTCTCCTTTCTACTCCCTTTGCCCAGTGAATCGACATTACCAAGCCTCTGTGGTTTTGCCCATATCATCACCCTGAGGATCCTATTCAGATTTAAGGGACCCGTTTCCTTCTGACCTCCTAGGCTCCTGCTCCCTCTCCAGGTAGAACCGATGCTGTTCCCTCTTACCCTCACTGTTCTTCTTTGTGGCCACTGGATCCCATTAGAATTTTTTAAAATATAGATCTGAAACCCCATGGCAACACTACCGATTCAGAATGCTTTGGAGCCTGCATCAGAAGATCTCATGTACTCCATAAATATATTTACCTACTATGTACCTACAAGAATTAAAAATAAAAAAAAAAATTTTCATTAAAAATTTTTTTAAAAAGAAGGCTTCTCAAGCCTAGGAATGTGCACTCTAAAGTACTGCAGGTGATTCAGATGTCATTGGTCACAGAATCACCACCACGAGGTCCCAGGCCGTTGCTCCTATATACCTTTGTCACGCAGTCATTGGCATGCTTTCTCTAGCTTCCTAATTGCAAGCTGTTTGAAGGCTATGACATGCGTGGTATTCATATTTCACTCAACACTTTTTTTTTTTTTTTGAGACAGAGTTTCACTCTTGTTGCCCAGTCTGGAGTGCAATGGCACAATCTTGGCTCACTGCAACTTCTGTCTCCTGGGTTCAAGCGATTCTCCTGCCTCAGCCCCCTGAGTAGCTGGGACCACAGGACAACAGCTGGCTAATTGTTTTGTATTTTAGTAGAGACAGGGTTTCACCCTTTTGGCCAGGCTGGTCTTGAACTCCTGACGTTAAGGGATCAGCCTACCTTGGCCTCCCAAAGTGCTGTGATTACAGGGGTGAGCCACTGTGCTGGCTTCAACACATTTATTGAGTGCCTGCTGTACACCAGGCACTGTTTTGAGAGCAGGAGACACTGCAATGAACAAAACAGAGGCCTTCTCTCTCGGACCTTACGTTCCCAGGAGAAAAGTCCAACAATAAAAAGAAGGTGTGGTTATTAAATACTGTTTCATTAGATGATAAGTACCCTGGAGGAAGATAGAGCAGGGAAGGAGGAGATGGTGAAGTCCAGGATGGAGGTGAAGGTAACGTTAAGCCTTTGCTACAGAGGTGGTAACTGAGCAAAGATTTGAAGACTGAGGAAGAAGGCCAAGTAGACATTTGGGAGAAAGACAAGGTAAGGGTCTAATGCCAAGCTCATTCTAGAAACAGATAGGTGGTCAGTATGGCTGGAGCAGAGTGAGCAAGTGGGAGAGAGATGGAGGAGGCTGGTGAGATGCGGGGGAGGGAGGAGAGCTTGTAGGGGCTCGTCTGTCCCCGTAAGAATGTTGCCTTAGCTCGGCGCAGTGACGCACACCTGTAATCCCAGCACCTTGGGAGGCTGAGGTGGGTGAATCACGAGGTCAGGAGTTCGAGACCAGTCTGGCCAATAGGGTAAAATCTCGTCTCTAATAAAAAGACAAAAAAAATTAGCTGGGTGTGGTGGCAGGCATCTGTAATCCCAGCTACTCAGGAGGCTAAGGCAGGAGAATCTCTTGAACCTGGGAGGTGGAGGTATCAGTGAGCCAAAATTACGCCACTGCACTCCAGCCCGGGCAACAGAGTGAGACTCCGTCTCAAAAAAACGAGTTGGGGGGCGGGAATTCATGGAGTCCTAGAGATGGTAAAACAGAGAGAGAAAATGAATAAACATAAAGATGATGGTGATGCTGATAACAGCTGCATTGGTAGCTGCAGGTGTAAAAATAGATGGGAGTCCTCTATATTAGTGTTCCTTGGGGCTACTCATAAAAATATGAGAATTACACTTTGAAGCCTGTCTTTTACTTCAGTCAGACTTCGGCTTGCCGTCTGCAAGCCACGTTTTAGATAGAATAAGAATAATTTCTCTTTGATTCCCTTTCCTGTTGAATTTGTGTCATAGTCTTCTAATACAAATGAGATGACACTTTGCATGGTCATCAGGCAGTTTTAATACAGGCTTGGGAAATTTCTTAATTCACAACTGGGAATTGGTTTCTATTAGGAGACTCATTTGAATGATTTGAATATCTGTGTGTAGATGTTAAATGCTAATGTTATTCATATGTAATAATATAGATGCAGCTATTAATTTTTCTAGCCTATGTCCAGTTCTATCTTTTTTTTTTTTTTTTTTTTGAGGCGGAGCCTCACTCAGTCGCCCAGGATGGAATGCAGTGGCGCAATCTCCACTCACTGCAACCTCCGACTCCCTGGTTCAAGCCACTCTCCTTACTCCGCCTCCCAAGTAGCTGGGATTACAGGCACTTGCTGTCACACCCAGCTAATTTTTGTATTTTTAGTAGAGACAGAGTTTCACCATGTTGTCCAGGATGGTCTCAATCTCCTGACCTCGTGATCCAGCTGCCTCAGCCTCCCAAAGTGCTGGGATTACAGGCATGAGCCTCCTCCCCCAGCCATCCTGTTCTATCTTTAATATTCATTTTTAAAGAAACTTGTGAACCACACCCATCTTCTCTCTCCTTTGTATTACTAACTTTTGTAATCATATCCACGTCCACTGGTTAACTTTGATGGCTCTGGAGGCAGATGGCTGGTTTCAAAGCCTGGACCATTGTTCAGTGGTTGTGTGACCTCAGGTAAATGACTCAACTTCTGCAGGGCTTAGCCTTGGTTTTCTTCACTGTAAACTAGGGGTAATAATACCACCTCCAACAGAAGGCTATTTTTAGGATGAAATGTGACATACATGTAAATGAGCTGTACACTTAGGACAGCACTTGGCACATAGTAAAACACAGTGTCAAGTATTGACTATTATTGGTACTTCTGCAAACTGGCTTGAGATATCTCTTCACAGCACTCGCTTTGTAATTCTGTAACTGTTTGACATGCCTGTGTTTTCTAACTGCATTTACTGCACACATTGCTGACCATTTTGTCCTTGACCTGGCCTTCAGGCATTATTTGGGGTGCAGTCCTAGCTGTCTACACTTGTACTATTTCATCCCTTTTCACCTCCAGCTGCCCCTGGGCAGCCATCAGTCAGCCACGCCCCATCTGTCACTGCTAATCCATACAGCATTAAAACCACGTGGTGGCTCTTGCCTGTAATCCCAGGGGTTTGGGAGGCTGAGGCAGAGGAGCACTTGAGGCCTGGAGTTCCAGACCAGCCTGGGCAACATGGGGAGATCCGTCTCTACAAAAAATAAAAAGCAATTAGCGTGGTGGTGCATGCCTGTAGTCAGGAGGCTGAGGCAGGAGGATCCCGGAGTTTGAGGCTGCAGCGACCCACGTGCCACCTCACTCCAGCCTGGGCAGCAGAGCCAGACCATGTCAAAAAGAGGACTGCTCCCTTCCTCTACCGCCCTTCACAGCCAAGCCCTCTCGTTTCTCGTTGCAGGATGTTCTGGAAGCTTTCCCTGTCCTTGTTCCTGGTGGCCGTGCTGGTGAAGGTGGCGGAAGCCCGGAAGAACCGGCCCGCGGGCGCCATCCCCTCGCCTTACAAGGACGGCAGCAGCAACAACTCGGAGAGATGGCAGCACCAGATCAAGGAGGTGCTGGCCTCCAGCCAGGAGGCCCTGGTGGTCACCGAGCGCAAGTACCTCAAGAGTGACTGGTGCAAGACGCAGCCGCTGCGGCAGACGGTGAGCGAGGAGGGCTGCCGCAGCCGCACCATCCTCAACCGCTTCTGCTACGGCCAGTGCAACTCCTTCTACATCCCGCGGCACGTGAAGAAGGAGGAGGAGTCCTTCCAGTCCTGCGCCTTCTGCAAGCCCCAGCGCGTCACCTCCGTCCTCGTGGAGCTCGAGTGCCCCGGCCTGGACCCGCCCTTCCGACTCAAGAAGATCCAGAAGGTGAAGCAGTGCCGATGCATGTCCGTGAACCTGAGCGACCCGGACAAGCAGTGAGCGCCGCGCCCCACGCAGCGCAGCCCCGCGCGCCCGGCCGCCGCCGCCGCCGCCGCCTCCGTCCCTGCCCTCCGAGCCCGCTCTCACGCTGCCCGGTGCCCCCCTCAGCAGCCAGCACGTCTCTTAGGGCTGACGGTGTCCTTGTCACACAACGTGGATCGCAAGTGGCGCTTTCGCCGACGCGTTCCTGACCGACCCCGGGCCCCGCCCGCGCCTCCCACACCAGGTGGCGGATCGGGCCCGAAGGCAAATGCTGGAAACCGCCACCCGCCCCGCCAGCAGTCGCAGAGGACCTTTCGAGGTCGCGCGCTGCAGATCCCGCAGGGATGTTTCCACCATGTGGAAAAGCGAGGATCTCCCTGCCCGCCCCCTGCACGCCAGCCCGCCCGGCTCCCGCGCGAAGTGGAGGATGCCGCACTTTCCCGAGCTGCCCCTCAGACCTCTCCTGCTGGTCCCCTGGACCTCGGGCTGGGGGCGCTCACTCTGTGACCGGCAGGCTGCCCTCGGTTGCTGCTGTGAGGCGGATATGTACGACCTCCATAAATAAGTACGGGGATGGGGGCGTCTCCTAATAAACCGGTACCAGGAAGACAACGCGAGCCGCCTGGATCCCGAAGTGGGCTTCCCGGGGAACCCTGAGCACAGCGGCTACACTCTCCCCCACCCTCCGTCACCACCACCTCTTCTTCCTCACTATCCCCACCCCCGATTTGTGGACTAAAGATGAACTCTGGTGTGCATGCTATTATTGCTGCAATTAGAATGTTATCACACACACAAAGGTCTCTGTATTAACGCTGGTTTTACAAGTGACCGTATATTGTAAAGAGCTGTTTTAAAAGTATTATAGACCTATTCATGTATTATTTCACAGATTTTGACTCTGTCTTGCAGCACCATTCTGAGTAAGGATGAGAGCAGGGGATGATCTGCCCAGAAGGTGTTTTACTCAGAAAAAAAAAAAAGCCTGGTGGTCAGCAATTCACTGTCATGCACCTATTTTAGATCGGGCAGGGAGATGGACGGAGTCGTGTTTTTTACTTTGAATTTTATTTCACTGAAGGTACTAAAGCATTGCAGCACAAAGTAGAAATTGGTTTGGGATAGATAGGTACAGGGAGAAGCATTCATTGGGAAATTGATGACCAGAAACTCGAAAACCCCTTTAATGCGGAATATGCATACGTGGGCTGAAACGGTATACTATTCTCACTGCCATGACACTAAGCAAAAAGTATTTCCTGTTAAAAGAAAGAGAAAGAGAAAGGGATATTTAAAAATATAAGGAGTTGAGTTGCTCTGTGGTATAGGAGGGAGTAAGGAATAAAATATATAGAATAGTAATCTAGCTGATCTGTTCTGCCCAAAACAACATGCTTCCTTTTCAAAGAATAGACTTCAAAGGAGACGAAGAAACATTAGGTCCCTTTTTTTTTTTTTTTTGAGACGGATTATTGTTCTGTCACCCAGGATGGAGTGCAATGGCACGATCTCAGCTCACTGGTTCAAGCGATTATCCTGCCTCAGCCTCCCAAGAAGCTGGAACTACAGGCACGTGCCATCACGCCCAGCTAATTTTTGTATTTTTAGTAGAGACGAGGTTTCACCATGTTGTCCAGGATGGTCTCGATCTCCTGACCTCGTGATCCACCCACCTCTGCCTCCCAAAGTGCTGGAATTACAGGTATGAGCCACCGTGTCCAGCCACCTTTTGTTTTTATAATGAATTGTAACTTTCTATGTTGTGGTCTCTTGATGAAAGGAAGTAGACGTAACTTATTTTCCAACCAAATTATACTTCCTCTGGTTCCGTTTGCTCAGCTGTCCTGGAAGGCTTCCCTGTGAGTAATGCTTATGGAATCTGACAAATGTGAATGAGCTGCCATTGGTGGGAATCAGTACACTTTGAAAACCTTTCACTGATGCTTCCCCAGGAAGTGCTCCTGTGGAGGGGCCATTCCCTAGTATGTGAGAGACCTTTCGGAAGCTGCTGGGGGGACTTAGCTTCCTGACGCTGGGTGGTGACGGTGGATCTAGAGGCATTCACTTGGAGAGCAAGGATTGGGGTGGGTTGGGTTGGTGAATCTGTTTCAGGCCACTGCACAACAAGTTTCATTTCTGTCATTTCTGCAACACCATGAGACCTGAGCAAGAATGTGCTGGTGCAGAGGGGATCTTGGTTTTGTAAATGGGCATATACAGCCTGAACGCAGGAGGCAGAAATCAAAAGAAATCCTTGAGGGCTGGAATCTGAGGATGGGAAGAAAATGTAGAGAAGTGTGTTCAAGGTCAGGATTGATTTTTGCATTTAGCAGAAAACCTCAAGTCAGACTCAGTGGCAGAACACGCAGCAGAAAAGCTGTGAAGGAAGAAAAATTATGTGATTGTAATGGAGGCTAATGGGGTGAATTGGGAGGTGAGTGGAGGAGAGTCTCTGACCAGCTGCAGAGTCAACCCCTATCATTTATTAACATGAAACCCATACAGATAGGGGAGGGATTAAGCTAAGAACTTACAGAATGCAAACACGAGCACACTCTCTTTGAACCCAATTGTGGGTGTAGCAATGAAAGCAATACGATATGCTGCGGTGTAGTGTGAAGCTCCTTCTGGGGGTTCTCATATGTACAAAGTTTACCTTATAATGGCTCATTGTATTTAATTTTTTTGTTTTGTTTATAAATGAAGAAAAGCTATAAGTATAATGTAATTATTTTATAGGTATACTATTAAATTATAGAACAAATAAAGATAATCTAGGATTCTATGTGATCCCGGTGTGATGTGCCATAAAAGAGGGAATTTTTAACTTGTTTCAGTGAGCCGTAATGCAGCACTGTGCATTCAGAGTGTTTTTGTTCAACCATGGTGAGTTCAACCCCTAGCTTATGTCACATAATCTCCTTTGGGGTCTGGAATCTTCTAAGAAAATTAGAATCAGGCATCCAAGGAGAAGCAGTGATGGAGGTGGCACCCAGTCCTGGTCTTTGGGAGCTTCCAAGCCTCTTCCAGATCCCTGCCAGCTGACGGCAGAGTATTCCCACTATGCTGGCTGAATGAGAAACACTCGGCAAGGAAGCCTTGAGAAACAGCTGTGAAGGGAAGTCCACTGTCAGTCTCAACAGCAGGGACGCACTTGTCCTGAGTTCTGTTTATTTTCACATTTACTTCTCATGAGTGCCAACATTTCTTAATTTAAATATTTCTTAGTTTACAGTGTCTCCATTTTTCTATTAATTGACTTAATCTGCCATTCAAGAAAACTCAATTATCAATAAAAAATAAAATCCATAATCAAATTGCACATGGTTGATTCACTGTGTAGACTTCAAAGGAATTAAACTCCACTTCCTAGTAGATAATTCATCTTAGTTTATTAAATGGGACAGACTAGTTCACTGTGTGCTAACATATTTCAACCCACTTGTTTTTGAAGTTGGCCAACTGATTTTTAAGTTATAAAATCAATGAAAATGACTTTTGCTATTGTGTGAACAATTTAGAATGTATATATTCCCAGAAAGCTTATTTAATGATTGAGCTATCACCACTGATTATTGTCTGCATGAGCAATAATAATAATAATAATGCAATTAGAACTTTTTAAGTGAAAGCAAGTTTATTAAGAAAGCAAAGGAATAAAGAATGCCTACTTCATAGGCAGAGCAGCCTAAAATGTCTTATTCATCATGTTATCTTCTGAGTTCTCCTTAATCCCCAACCTTGCACCCCCTTCACCTGATTCCACTGCGACAACTTCTCACACACAGTAGATGCCCATTCAATTCACCAAAAACAAAACAGGAGAAACAGTGCCATTTTTATTGTTGTTGTTTTTATCTCTTGATGTTACTGACTTCTCTAGTATTTAGTCTAGCATATAAGGCAAAACAAACAAAACGGAGAAATCACTGCCACATTATTCCTTGAATCCCGAGTTTTCTACCTTGTTTGTCTGCTTTTCTCCACCTTTTAGAGCTTCATGTTACATGTGGGTGTGCGTGTGTATATAAACACAATATATATATAGTGTATAGTGTATATATTGTGTGAAAAAAGGTAAAGAATGGTGTATATATAGTGTATAGTATATATACTGTGTGTATATACACACACACACATATTATCTGGAGATTTTAGTGGAGGGAATAGGAAAAAAATAATGTCTGCTGCATCTTACCCAGAATCAGAAGTTTCCTGAATTTTCCTTTGTCTGTCTTTTCTTTTCTTTCTTCCTTCCTTCCTTTCTTTCTCTCCTTTTCTTTCTTTTTCTTTCTCTTTCTCTCTCTTTCTTTCCTTCCTTCTTTCTCTTTCTCTCTTTCTTCTTTCTCTCTCTCTCCTCTCTCTCTCCTCTCTCTCTCTCTCTCTCTCTCTCTCTCTCTCTCTCTCTCCCCGCCCCACCCCAGGCTGGAGTGCAGTGGTGCGTCTTGGCTCACTGCAACCTCCACCTCTCAGGTTCAAGTGATTCTCCTGGCTCAGCCTCCTGAGTAGCTGGGATTACAGGTGTGCACCATCATGCCCGGCTAATTTTTGAATTTTTAGTAGAGATGGGGTCTCACCATGTTGAGCAGGCTGGTCTCAAACTCCTGACCTCATGATCCATCCACCTCAGCCTCCCAAAGTGCTGGGATTACAGGCACGAGCACTGTGCCCAGCCAGTTTCCTGAATCTTTATAAGGTTTATTACCCACTTTCTAAGGTGTATGGAGTGTGTACCTACTAAGTCCTCCAACATAACTTGCTCCATACCTCTCATCAGGTCCTATTACATGAGGTCAATCATAGGGGGAATCTGTGTAGTGATTTACAGAATGTCCCTTCAGTTTACATTTTGACAAATAGCATCATAACTTACATAGTCTGGGGGCAAGACCAGAGACATAAACTGTCCATCCCATTGGAATGCAGGCTACCTTTGGTCCTCTCATCGATTGCCATGACAGAAAACACACTTGCCCGGTAAAGTTCTAGAAGTGGTTTTAATCTGCTTTCATGAAGAAATCACACTGAGTGCAGTAGATGTAACGGGGGCTACTGCTGGAACATCCTGCCATGCTCCATTTGATTTTTGCAGGAGCCAGCATAGTGAAGTAAATGGAAATACAGCCAGGGGTACTACAGTATTGAAATCTTTGAGGGGCTCATTAATTTCCCCCCATTCCTTCCGGAATTCAGCATCACTTTTGATGTACTCTTTTTTCTAGGGTGGGAGCAGCTTCAGGGGCTTCCATTGGTCATTTCCCACTACAATAGCTCTTAACTAAGAACTCAAGGATCAATGTGAAGGTTCTTCAAACTACCAAGAGTGTCCCTTCTAATTGTGTATTTGGAAATGAGGAAAAGGAGCACCAGGTTAGTCTGTGGACCAGAGGGCCCACTGAGAGCCAGACCTCGGAGGCTCTAGTAGACTCTACATGAGCCCACATTAGTAGGGAGCCATGGTGGTTCAATGGATCTCCAGGTATTGGCGTCAGTTCAGACCCAGTGTTCAATAATTCTCAAAAATGGAGTATTCCTCTTCTCTCTCAAACCACGTTTACCTGAATAAAGTGGTCCTGAGCTCCTTGGTTAAGAAGTAGGGAAATAAATGAATAGATTTGCCCTGGTATTGCCAGCTCATAAGGAATCAGCCACTGCTTCAGCCAGTGGGTCTGACTTAGAATGGATCTGACCTGGAAATTGAACAAGGGATTGTGATTTTCATTGAGATTCTGCCCTTTGCCTCTAATTTTCCTTCATTGATTTATTTTGACTGTGTAAACTAAGCAATGCTCTTGTTGCCCTCCCCCAGGACCTCCCATCTAGCTTGCCTTCAGGAACATCATATTCTAGTGACCATCAAGTTGGGAGTCCACGGATGCTGCCACAGTCCTACCCCTCTTTGCAATAACCATGGCCACTTCTGAAAGCTAAGCATTACAACCTGGCCCACATTCTTTTGAGAACTCGCTATTCTCGTGTCCTTCAGGGAACCTAGTTTTATACCAGCATCTCTTCCGACAATTATCCCTGGCCTACAGAGGCCAGCACTACGGAGCACTAGAGCTTCTACGTCTCTCACAAGCACAGGCATCACAGCTTTCATAACTAGAGACTTTCCTGGGAACACAGTTGGCGAGTGGTTTGGTTTTTCTAGCTTTAGCATGCCCACTTCTCTGAGCCTTAGGATGCTTTTATCCATCACGTACCACGGAAGTTTCTACATTTCTATTTCATGGAGTGTGAATCCGAGTGTTTGAGACACTTCAAG